TGTAGTTGCGCTATTAAAAAAATAAAAGTTATCTTATTTTTAAAGTTTTTATTACATAAATGTTAATAAGTTTACGATACATTTTAAGTGTTTTTTTGTCCGACTTTACTAATGTAATATTAATAGTTTAATTTATATTGTTTATCTTTTTCTAATTCTTAAAGTTAAAAAAAGATAAAGAGAAATTAAATCGAGAATAAAGTTAATCTTACATTAGTAGAAACGAGCCAAGCCTTTATCTCTAAATTTTCGTGTAAAACATTACGATGCGATGCATGAAGTTATTATATGTTAAAATGGTAATTATAACAGTGTAAACGGAGTGGAAAAAACTCCATTAAAAATGTTGGTTTCTCACACATATTTTTTAATTTTTATTACGTAAATTCAATGCTTAGTAAACCACGTGATTCACTTGGATTTCAAACCTTCCACCTACGTTACAGCGCAAGCTCGTCACGCAAGTTTGGCTTGGTTTCCCGTGCAAATCGATGCTGTCTATCCGAACCGTCCATTCATCCTGTACTATTACCTCAAAATAACCCACCGCTCCAAAAATGGACGCATATCCTTGATACAACACGTGTTATCTCGCCAATTAAACAGAAATGTTCATTAACAAAAGTCATGCAAAGAATTAGTTATTAAATAATTTAATTAATAAAATATTAGAAAAGAATGCTAATACATTTTAGTAAAAATAGTTATTTATAATAAATTCATCTCACTGAAAATCGTTAACGTATAATATAATTTTAAGTAGAAAAGATTCACAGTCACTTTCAACGTACAACACAGCTCTTTTCAATTTTAGGAATACATTGACAGAAAAACACTTCTTTTTTACTTGCCAAGAAAATTGCAATTTATAATGTTTGGTTATAATTCTATACTCTATAGTATCGTTTTCCTCAAAAGATACTATTACTAAAAGAATTTGTAGAAATATGAGCACCAGTTGAAGATAAAGAGTGAATAAATCGCGCGTGTCACCGTCATTTATATCAATGTTTCGCGGTCATTTGTTATTCACAGAACACTAGAGATTCACAAGCGACTCGGACATGACGGGCTGCTAAGCTGAGATGATGAGAGGTAGAGTAGATCTCCGACGTACTCCAAAGTGGCGCAGTCGCCTTGACAACGGCGGCGCCATGTGCGTGTATGTGCGCCCTTTCACGACGGACGGCGTCGACGGACGGTGAAGAGACGGAAGAGGACAACATCCACAGGAACGAGAGAAACGACGATTACACCCTGCGCGATGATAAAGTGAGAGAGGAAGAGAGCGCGACAGCGCACTTGATGGTGCTTAGTTAGAGAGAAAAGGGTAGAGTGAAATACAGGGGTTGGAAGGTCGGCGGGGCGTGAGAGGGTGGCGCACGAGAGAAAACCGCTAGCGTGTACCGCAGTACAGGATAGTGAGCTGCAAGCTAGTCTTCCTCTCTCACGCCACGAAAAAGCCACTATCGGCTGAGACAATACGGTCGTTCAGCTGTTCACTTTCCGCCATTCCATACCTTATGAGGACCGAATGTTCATGAAGATGTTCGATTCTCGTCGATGTGCTAGTTTATGACATAATGTGTGTGTGAAGAAGCGGCGATAATTGTGAAATTTACGAAAGATTGTTCTGGAAGCTGCTCCGGATTTCTTCAAGGTGTGATCAAGTCGTACATGTGTATCAAATATCATAACGCGCTCCTCGAATGTCAAGGACGATGCGGCATTTCGTTATACTCCGACACGACACCCGTTAGATTCCACTTCTGTGACGATTATGAAATTGGATTGATCAGCGACGTCGCGTCAGCTGGGAAGTATCGTGAGTGTCCGCAGAATGGCAATGATATCTTGTACTTTTTTTGAAAGCTTTGTTCTTAAATCATAAAGCGCATAGCTTGCTGTCTCCTCGGTCTCACTGAAATCTTAACAGAATGCAGGCACCTGTTCCTGAGTGTAGCGAATCGGAGGACGACGAGGTGGATAACGATCCTCCCTTAACATCTTCTAGAAGTGACAATGGAACGATATCCTCGTGAGACGCAGCCACCTGCGCCGAGTGTACAGCTTATTGATATCTAAACGAGTTTGAAGTTGATACCTTTGATATTAATAAATTTTGTAGAATATCTTAACACACGAAGAATCGGACGTTTTCATATTTATGATAGCAGCTGTACAATTAGTATATGAAAAAAGGATTTTTAAGTGACTGGACATTTAACATGAGCGAATTTTAAAGTACATTTCCGAAACGTAAAAAATGCTATAAAGTAGACAACAGAGATAGTGTTAAAAATAAAATTTAAATGAAAGAAATTGAATAAAAATTGGAAAAAGTTGACAAAAAGCAGATTCTCAAGAAAACAAGTGGCTTTATTAAACTCAAAAGGAAATGAATGTCATGAATTACAAAAAAAATCATATCTTATTTCTACATAATAGAAAGATCTTACTGCTTATAGACAAGGAAACACCTGTACGCTATTGTTATTTTACCGAACATTGAACTAGAGTTTCAAGAGAAAAATGTGAATATGTATGAAATTTAATTGCCATTTGTTGAAGTATTTGAGAGACTGAAGTGGTGTGGATCGATAAAATCTGAAGTGCAATTTAAATTAACACAATAAACACAATCTAAACTTGATATACACTGGAAGATATGAGCATTCAGGAACTTGTTAAGTAAGACATTTAGAATGATGAAACTGATGTAATCTTATTGAGATGTTTTAAATTTGAGTTCGTATTATTTGCAAAAGAGCGCGTTCTCGTTGTCATAGTTGTATTTGTGACCGTGACCTTCGATCATCATGTGACGTCATTCAGGTCAGACGGAAACGGTGTCGTGCAAACAATGTGACTCGAAATGCTTTTGTGACCACCGTTGTAGCGACAGTAGCTGCAAACAATCAGAATGTTGCGTATTTGCTAGACATTATTTCATCATCTTGAAGAATCCGCTAGATTCTTATCATATAAAATACGCACATTTTTTTGCTTAGTAAAAAACATAATAGTAAAAAAGCAGTTTAGTAAAAAAAAGTAATTTATTATTTTGTTTTGGTTTAACTTTAACATTTTTTCAAACGGTTTACCCCTTGTGCGTGTAACTATGATCGTTAATAATTCACATAAGTAGTTTGTAATGCATAAAAAGTACATAAAGTAATAGAAGTTTAAAATAAACGTTGCTCTACTTTGATAAAAAAAGTGACCGCTCAAATGGAGTACTAGAAAGCTCTTTTAACTCTCACTAAAAAAAGAGAAAGTGTGAATTCAACCAGTCACAAAATACTTTAACATATAAGTGTATTTTCATTTCGCGAACAAGAAAGTGCGAATCAATACAAAACGATTCCAATCGGATTGTCAAATGTACTTTTTCATAGTTGCTCAAGTGCATTAATGTTTCACGCTGTTGCATTGTTATTTGCAATCGTTACTGTTATCTTGCGCTGATAGTATTCAATATCTCATTTAATGTCAAAAATAGTTCAAGAAATAAAGCGAGTTTCATAAAACTCTCTTTTACGGTAATCGAAGTTTGACAACACATTTTAAATTAATCTGTGCTTGTTGTTATTATTACCTAAACTATGCTTTTCGATGCATTTTCGATGATCAAAAGTAGCCAACGCAAATTGTTATGCACATAGTCAACAAAAGAAATAAATATCGTTGCAATGATATTTATTATATTAAAGTGTTAGTTATGTATATGAGATTTGTTAAAGTTCGTTGGGAATTAGAATTTTGAGAAATGTACTTTTAAAAAGTAAATGCAGTTTAATGCAGTTGCTTTATGAAGAATCAGTAAATTAATACCAGAGAAATTAATGCTTAGAACTATGAAGTTTCAGAATTTTTATGAATGTTGTTAATGGTATTAAGAACTCATATTAGTTGAAATAATATCAACTATAGTGGTTTGTGCAATAGCTTATAATATTCTCAACAAGGCAGGAAATATATTAGTTATGTGAAACTACCTCGCAAAGTTACTATGTCTGCAAGTATCGTCTTCCATCTCTGGAACTTACAAATTACTTCTGATACAAATTTAATATTGGATTGGAATAAGATCGAAATTATTTAAATCGCTTGAGAGTTCCCTTCATCATGCACGAATAGCTCTCACAAGATTACCTTGTCTTCTCTTTCATTGACTTACTTTTGTCGAGTGTTTCTAGTTATTTCTGAAAGGGAGACAACATATCTTTACTGGAACGTAATCAACTTTTACAAATAATGAAGCAAATTTAAGCAGTTGCTTGCATTTTTTCAATAATTCCATTGTCTGCTATAAATCAAGAAAGCAGAGTAGTGTTTTAATCAAATCTTCTTTTAAAAATTGAAAATAGAAGGACTTTGTTAATTCAGTGCAACGTTTGAATATGAATGTTGGATCTCTGTTGACAGTTACTTCTCTTCGAATTCGATTGTGATAATTAAAGGAACAATGACTGCACGTGCAAGATTAATGGAAGATATGGATATGGAAATGCTATGAAATTATGCAAGTATTTACATGTACGTTATAATTTCATTATATAAAACTACAACAATATAAGAATCATACAAAAAGTGGACAAATTTTATAATAAGTCAATTGATCACCATTACACAATCGTGTTTATTATTTCCTCAAAATGTTTGTTCAAGATTCATTAATTCTTCCTTTCCATTATCAATCAATTATATGTTTCTTCGGAATTATTCACTGTGTTTCGTCGATTAATTATAACCATTCAGTTAAATGATTGGAGAAGTTTTACGGCAATGTGGTCGACAGAACGATGTGGCCGGACGTCGCCGGTAGATCTCACACGTCCTGCGACCATTTCAAAGTGAAGCTGCCGGTAGTGAAGAAAAAAAAGAAGAAGGAAGAGAACGAGTCGGAGTGCTGTAAGGTTTTCGCCCTGTTTCATTATCGCAAGCCTCGGGACCCGCTCCGTAGTTCCAGCGCAGCCTCGTCGGTGCCCCTGCTCGATATGGGCGCAAGAGCATGGGACTACGAGGCCCTGCCGGAACTCCACTCCTCGACGGCGGTTACGCCGACCTCGACGCCACCGAGTGCGTCTCAGCAGAAAGCGCCTAGAGTGTACTTTCAAACAGAGAATCTGGCGTCCACTAGACGAAGGAGCAGCAATAGACTGCTGGCGCCGCAGCAGTCCTGCAGGAGACGGAGCCGCAGCATGAGCGCCTGGAGCGATTTGTCCAGGTCGTCCTTCAGGTTGGACGAAAGGTTCGTCGGTTTCCAGTTTGGAAACGTTCTGACTTTATTCTATCGTACACTTCATAAGTTATCGGCTTACGTTAGACAATCTCAATACAAGATTAGTACGATCTTTGCCTAAAGTTCGAAAGTTGAATGGCTTTTATAAATACGCGACTTAATTTTCATGGCAAATTAACTCTTTTATTTCAACATGGCTACATTATTACATGCCATGAAAAGAATTACGAAGTTTTTAAATTTTTCCGAAGTTATTTCATAAAAAGTCAGCTTAGTTGAATGTATATTCATTAAAATAAAATTTTTTGACCTATGTTAGTTATACTTACGTAAAAAATTAATAACAAAGTTATATATAATACAAAATATTAAATTAATAATATTATATACAGGGTATACCTATAAGTAAAACAAAAACCGCATATGGAGTATACCATGAGATACAGGACAAGAATCCAAGTAAAAAAGTCCTGAATCATTTTTTGATTTGAGCTTTCAGTTCATTGTTATACTATGTTAAAGTTAGCGAATTAGCGCCCGAGTATAGAAGGAAAACAGGGACGTAGCAAGATGGAGTTGATGAATTCGGCGAGAGAACGACGGTGGGCAGCGAAGCGGTTGTAATTATCAATCTAACTCTTTCTCTCTCTCTCTCTCCCGCTCCCTCTCTCTACACCTTATTTAAAGAAATGTTAATGATCAGAAAGTGCAAAACTAAAATAAATGATTTGGTGTTTTCGTAACATATTAACTAATCGGTTATTTATTTCACAATTAATATTCCGCACTATTGAGAGAATCGACATTAATAAAACTCAAAGAGCTACGCGAAACGTGCAGTAAAGAGCACGAACATGTATGGAAGTAGGAGGGGGTCACTTTGAACACCTGTCACAATTTTAATGAAATAAATAACCGATTAGTTCATCCTCGCGATAATTTATTACGAAAGTGTTAGTCAATTTAACTCGTTATATTACTGTAGTAGTTTATTAGTGTTATGTTTAAAGTCTGAAAAAATTTCGGCGCGCAATCAAAGAATTACATATACGTAGTATATAAATTCACACACAATTATTTAGAAGCACCCGTGATCCAGCTTAGACCGCTGTGGCATTGTCTTATTCGGTTTTAGAACAATTAAAATTTAAAGTAAAATTAAATAAAATTAAAATTAATTTTGAAAACTAAATTTTTTCATAGTGATGCTATTGAAATGAATGATTGTAAATGGACTCTTATTTCGATAATAATTCATTTTATTTTTATTTATATTTTTATATTTGACGTATAAGTTACTATGGAAATTTTTATTATTTTTTCTACTGCACTATTATATTTTATAAAATTTATTGTAATACTTTACAAACTGTATAAAAAATAATAAGTACATTGAAATGTTACAGCTATTACAGTTATTATAGCCATTCTAAACATAGATCAAAATAATAAGTTTATTATAGAAATTTTTTGTACTTTTTTTATATATTATTATTGGGCATTATCATTTAAACCGCTTTTTAAAGAAATTTTATTTTTTCATCTCTCCCCTTCTTCAAAAAAACGTAATATTATTAATATCCGTCATGATATAGATAAAATGGACAAGTAGGTTTGACTATGTTTTTAAATAAAAATGTTAAAAGTGTTGTGGGAGAGGTTAATAATATCATTATCAGCTTTTTTCATTGAGCAAGCGCTCAGATGCTTTGTCTCGTGAGTGCATCGTAAACGACTGTACAAAGAAAAAGCTACCGATTATCGATCATCGTTATCGATAACGTCATATATGGTCATTTCATCGAAAACCAATAGTGATTGCTATACTATATCGGACAATAAAACCATGAGTTTGCTTTGTGTGTCGCGGTATATAAATTTAACGCAATGCCGTCCAGTAGTGTAACAAAATTTTGTAATTGATAAATATTTTTATTTGCAAGATTTGTATAAAAATTATATAAAGCAAACTAAATGTAATATGTAATATAACAATATTAATGTAAAAAATTTTAATACATAATATTCTGTTATATGTAATATCTATACAACTTTTTAGCAATATTAAAATTATGATAGATGAGAGATATTGTAATATACAACTTAAATAACATTACGATGAAATAATGCATTGTGATTTCCAAAGGGACTAAGATAGAAAAAAAAGGTTACTTTAGTAATCTGAAATAGAGATGAAAGGATCTTTTATATTTATATAAAGCACATTGCTTTATTTATACATCTTTCATAAAGGTTTTATAAGTCTTTTAAAGTTAAAAATATGATGACAATTTTAATAGCATCTTTTAACTATTAAATTTAAATTCACAGTAATATTAAGCCAAAATTAATATTTTCTATTTAAGTAAAATAGTGACGAAATTACAATACAACTTTCTTGTTGTTCTAAATGTACATGTTATTATACAGATGTACGGTTATTTTATATCTTTGTTCTAACTGTTGTTATATTGTTTGATGCACTTCATAACCTTTTGAAGAGTGATATGATTTTATTAGTATGGCCAAATAAAAGTAATTTCAAGTGATTTTATATTGCGCATAAATTGGATATTATAAGACATTAGAAAATGATTCATTAATATCCTGATATTTTTATTTTTCATGATAGAATATCGATTTCGTGTTTAGTGGAAATAAGATATCAATGTTCTAAAAATATTCCAGGAATGAGCGAGAGTAGCAAGACTTCTTATTTTTTTTTAATCACGGATAGATCATTACACTGCATTTTCAAGCAGCATCCGAGTCCTTTAGAGTGCTTTTAATGAAAAACTTTAGAGTGCTTTCAATGTTAGATTAAAACGAGGTGTCTTTTCCAATACTTAAAGATATATTCAGTGCCTATACTTTCATTTTGCTTCATTTTAAGTTATCATTACTTAGTTTATCCGTTATATTAATTTCCATTACTCATTTAATTCTGAATAGTCAAAATACATTTGCAAAAAGTAATTCCACGAAAGTAAACAAAAGATAAAGCTTCAATTAATTTAATAAATGATATCATTAATACATTCAATTTGCATAATTGTTACGTTGTTAAAATTGATATTGAGTAAAATCTGTATTCTAAAATGTGTACAAATGTATTATCTATATTTAATGATGCAAAAGTTCTGGAAAATAGTATATGTATAATAAAAACGTACTTAAAAATTAAAATGATCTATTTTGCATATAATTTTCTTAAAATCTGTATTAATTAAAAAAAATAATTGCAACACATATGGTTCTAAATTTCTTTATTCAAAATATTTTTAGATAAATACAATTATTAATATGATTATTAAAAATAAAATAATTACATATATAAAAGTAGCACTTATTAAATTGTGAATAATATTTAAAATAATTATTTTTTTATTCATTCTTATTGTTATATTTTAGTGTATTATTTAATCTATATAAAAAATTTATTGAGAAAATTAATTCATAATTATTTTATTTTAATGTTATTACTATTATCTTTTTTTTGTTTATACTTTGAACAGTCTATTTACGACATCTTAATTTTCTTGTTTCAGGTAAGTGTGAAGCTATATTTTTACCACTTTATTCGTTACACGTAAGTAATCGAATCAACATTATTAACTATATTACTAGTTGAAGCGAAATATATCCAATCGTATTGGATTCTTCAGATCAATGAACTGTGATATAGTATATAAGCAGTAGGAGTCTTAAATATATCACTAAGTAATGTATATTTGTATTGCATAGAATGTTCTCAGTGTGGTTGTCATACCATAAACGCAAATAGCCTTTGTATCATCAGACAACTATAAGTGTATTTGTAGAAAATGTCTAACTTAAATAAAATTTTTTGTTTATTTAAAATTCGTTCACAGAAAAATTAGGTAGATTAATTAAATAACATATGTAATGTACACTGTTTATAATAAGAATTTACTTATTAACTGGATATTTTTTATACAAAAGAGAAATCAAAGTTATGTTACTACATATATTAAAATCAAGAGATCTACATTGTGCAATTAATATATATAATTTTTAATATAAGTTTTAATTTATTTATTAATTCAATTATGAATTTTACTTTTTCACAGATTACGGATTAATTTAAAGATACATTAATATAGAAAGAAAAAAAAATGAATAATACTCTTTATTTATTATTTAAGATTATTATACCAGAAACGAAATATAGGTCTTTAAAACATTTTTTAGATCTTTATAGATATATTTTTTAATTATAATTTAAAATTATATATACTTTTCTTAATTTCTTATGTAAAAAATATAATATAAGAATGCAATTGTAGTTAATGGAGCTATTACGAGTGTAATAGAAGTAAATTTTTCATACTTATTCATGAAGCACTTTGTACAGTTTTATGTACAGAATTGCGCAGATTAGTAATTACAGAGAATAATCTTCTCTGACACAGAAAAGTTTACTTTGTGACAAATATCATTTTTGCGATTAAATATCGTTTTTGCACGTTTTATTTTTACTGTTAAAAATCTGAAAAATATCCACGAATAGTTAAACAACTTGTAACATATATTTATTTGTAATATTTTTTGTCTAAAACTGATTTTGTGAAAAAAATAATAGATTAAAGAATAAATAAAAATACATGTTTTTATTCAATGTTAATAGCAAAGGAAGTGATGAAATAGGAGTTCAATATATGAATACAGAGTTCCAAGAAAAACTTATTTAAAAGATTTGTTGAAACTAACAGAAAGAAGATATCCAGATATCCACATATGTTTATGATGTTATAAAAAGAATCTTAAAGTAATTCAGGAAATAAATATATTTAAATATAAATACTATTATCGTAATATTCGGTTTTAACAAGTAATTAAATTTGCTCTAATTTTTTTTTTATGAATCGTTATATTTAGAAATATAAATTATAATGATTGCTTTGAACACACACGCACATAACCATACATATACATAATATATATATACATATGTAAATACATCCAAGTAGCAAGCTATTATCGCCATTTTAACGTCAATTATTTATCCTACGACTTATTTACAACATTATACTTATTACATCGGATATATGATATTGACTATAGTAATCAGTTAGTTAATAATTTCGTCATTTATTTATG